CCAAACTCAGGAAGCAGCTTTACTCAAAGCTAAAGCTATGTAAGGAGTTTTGTTTTCACCAGGGATGAGGTCAACACAGTAGTGCTGACTTTGTAAAAAATGAGCACTGCAAAGCAATGTCACTGCTCTCCTAATCACAGATGTGGAGAAGGGAGTTGAAATGAACATGAAAATGAGTCTTTATAGAAAAAGGGATAATAGGAGATGATTTGAAAATGATGTAATTTAATAACATTTTCGCAACATTAACATTATGATCTGATTACTCCAGAAAAGTAGAAAATAACACAGGACCTGACAAAACAAGGCTCCATGACAGAGATTGCTATAAAGCAGGAAGACATGCAAATGGGCCTTCTCTCTACTCATGAAAAGCAGCCCAGTCCTGACCTTACAGCTCAGAGAGAGGAGCTCAGCTGTGGATCCCAAGACTTCACTCAAGGATCAGCATGGAGTTGGGGCTGAGCTGCATTTTCCTTGTTGCTCTTTTAAAAGGTAACTTATGAGTGAGTAGACATTAATCTGAGGGACAATGGACATGTGTGATGATTTCTTGACCAGGATTTTTTTGTGTTTTCAGGTGTTCTGTGTGAAGTGAAGCTGGTGGAGTCATGAGGTGGCCTGGTCAAGCCTGGGGGTCCCTGAAACTCTCCTGTGCAGCCTCTGGATTCACCTTCAGTGACTACTGGATGCACTGGTTCCGCCAGGCTCCAGGCAAAGGGCTGGAGTGGGTTGGAGAAATTAAATATGATGGCAGTACCACAAACTATGCACCATCCATGAAGGGCCGGTTCACTATCTCCAGAGACAATGCCAAAAACACTCTGTACATGCAAATGAACAGTGTGAAGTCTGAGGACACCGCCACTTATTACTGTGCTATAGACACAGTGAGGAGACCTCAGTGTGAACCCAGACATAAACCTCACTGTGAGGCCGCTCACGGCCACCAGAGCGCGCACAGCCCCACAGTACACAGGTTCATCCCACAGACTATAAAGGCATAACTGAGCAATCTTCTCAGCAGCTTAGGTTCCTTTCATCTTTCATCTTCTAGTTCCCAAGAAAGTCTCTCTAAATATTTTTGCTGTGGGTGACTGTTGTCCTCTATACATCTCCTGTGTTTCTGCTGTTATTTAAGAAACATGGATGCTCCTGTGTCTTTTTTCTCAGATTCAAGCAGTTCCTCAGTCAGATTTCTTTATTAGAGTAGCATTTATATTTAAGGGGAAATCATGGGTAAGAAGGGGCCAATTACAGGTGCACAAATGCTCCCAAGGCTCAAACCTCCCCTCGCCTCCTCCTGACAATGGTACACATCAGGTTCAGACTTGATCCAGCTGTGCTTTAAGCTAATTCAGTTTATTCATCCATGAATTTCATCTCTGCTCATCATGATATTTTTATAAATTTGTCCTTCAGGAAAGTTAGTTCAGTGTCTGTGTGGAGATGAGATTTCAAGGATGGTTTATTGTCTTCTAATTGACCTGAATATGGGGTCACACCACCAGGAAGGTATTGAACATCTGCATCTGGTCACATGACAATGTTCATGAGAAGTGAGATCTACTCACCTAGAAAATCTCTCACACGCAATTGGGCATTTTATGTAAATCTAACAGAGATCACTTTGGGTCTGGGGGTGTCACCTTAGCATTGACAGAGCCAGATCATGTCTCTAAGAGCCACTGAAATTCCAGCTTTGTTCTCTGAGAAGTTCCTCTCACTGTGCAAAAAACTGAGAAAGTTTGTCTTAGTAACTTTTCTATAGCTGAGATAAAACAGCAAGACCAACTGTGATGAAGGAAACATGTAAGGAAAGAAAGAACTTAGTTGGGATTATGGTTTCCAATAATCTAGTCCATGGTTCACAAACTAAAGGCTGAGTGGCTGGAGCAGACATTGATGGCTCAAGGTTTGATCCACAAGCAGAAACAGAGAGGCACACTGACAATGCCATGAACGTGAAGAACCTTTAAGCTTTCCTGCATTGACTCACTTTCTCCAAGTAAGAGGAGGCATAGTCTGGACAATATCCCTGAAGTTCTCATAGAATCACAGACAAAGAAGCATCTTATGTGTTTCTTGGAGCCCTTACAGTCTGTAGTCGACAGCTGCCTCAACATTGCTATGAAAAAACTATATCTCAAATACTCATAGCCCAAAAATCAGGAATAAATAAACAAGACACAAATATGGGATTTTCAGGAATGAAGAAATGGATAGACATCCAATCAGCCAAGTCAAGATCTACAGGTATTATAATATTGATTTTTCAAGACACAGCTTCTCATTGAAACCAATATTAACAGGGATATCTCCAAGAGGCAATAGTTAAAATCTGAACCACCTGCTATGTCTCACTTTGCAAAGACATAGGAAGGAAACTTGAGTGTGAACACAGATACAATCCTCTCTGTGCTCAAGACCAGTAGAGACAATGAAGTACTACTGAGGCTGCTGGGGACTAGCAGACATCTCTTGGAGTATAGGAGGTTGGGGACTGTCCCATGTGGTTTCACACAAACAGGCTTACTGCTGTTGGAATAAGTGGCTACCCCTTCTTGCGCTAACAATCCTTTAGAGGCCCTCAGCAATGTCACATTCTATTAACTACTGTTTGTTTAGTTTCTAATAAGTGTATCTATTTTTCTCAATGGAGAATCTAAAGCATCCATTTGGCACATTATATATGACGAAATAAACATTTTATGAATAAACATTTCCATATTTTTCAATGAATCTGTCATTCTAAGAGTTGGTGATGGTTATTAGCTCAATTGGAAATCTAAGGGAATTCTAAATCATCTGAAAACCATTCTCTTTTTCTCAGAGGTTGCAGAGTTGCCAGAGCTTCCATGATTAATATTATTTTACACAGTTGGTGGAACAAGTGGTCTATGCTTCAGGCTTCCAACATGTGAGTGTCTGTAATAGGGCACACATGGTTATTATTTTCACACAATTATTGTTTGAGATTTGCATCCTTGTCAAGAATATTTTCTGAATCAGTGTCCCATGTAGTGATGCCTTTGAAGGTGTGTTCTGTACATTCAGCTTGTGGAAATGTCTGAGTGACCATTGGGTATAGGGGGAAATGCTGGACACACCCACTTGAAGGCTGGCACAGGTGACGCTGACCATGCACACCTAGGCGTGGTCAGAGTGATGTAGCAAGGCTTTAAATATGAGGGTCACATGCAAGCTGCTCTCTGTTCCCTTTCCTGCCTTGTGGTAAAGGACTGGCTCCATAGTCTGAGTACTTCCTAATAAGCAATCTGTTTTTCACACTAGATCTGACTCCATTGCGATCTGCATTAACTGTTGGGCTCATGCCAGATGATATCATCTACAGTCTCTCTCTAACTCCCTTCCATTGGCCACAGAGGTCCTCATCACAGTTTTCTGCTTGTGTTTTCCTGTTCTAGTTACCTGCATGCTTACTGCTGTGATCTCTGACTCAGCTGAAGGTAGGAAAGCTGGAGTGTTTACCTGTGAGCTAGAGAAGAGCAATGGGAGAAGTGATGGTTAGTGTTGGTTCAGGGTTAAGGTTTACTGTTTTGAAGAGTCTGGAAAATGAAAAGAATGTCTACTTTTCCAGGCCTTAGCCTTCTCTGGATACTATGATAGTGACCTCAGCCATGTGTTAAGAAGTTTTGGTGAAGAAACAGACTATAGAATGTGGGATTACTGAGATCCAGATAATCACAACTCATTGAACAGTTCAGTGTGAAGGTGAAAACCAAGATATGCACTGTTTGTTCACTGACACCAGGGAGAGGTCAGGCCACATGGCAGCCAGTGAATACGGTGACCATAGTGAACCTGGAGACTGGGCAGACTCTTTACACTGGGAGTCTGTAGATTAGTTACTCAGTATCTCTTAGATATACTGAATAAAACACACATATTCTTGAGCAATATCTAATGCATGTGAGTTGACCTATTTTTGCTTTCATTTGGGCGAATAATTCTTCAACAACTCTATGAGTCCAGTTGATACAAACCTTAAAAGCACCAGCCAGTGTCTCCTAATTATGGTCAGTGAGAACTGAGTTTTAAACAGGCCAGGATGGAGAAGCCACAGCATGACTGAGACTGTGACAAGTTTATTATTTTTAAAATCAGAATGATAAGAGTACAAAAATTGTAAGGACAGCAGGGGGCACAATGGAGATATCAATCACTAGGATGGAAATCAAATGATGATTGGAGGGACTACAAAGCCCCTGTGGACTCCCGTCTTAAAGACTATCAGCTGAACAACACTTACTAGAGTTGGTAAGTGAAGTCAAGAATTTTCAAACACAGTAAAATTTCATTGTTAAATATTGCATAGATTTGTATTTTCTGAGCTAATAAAAATATTTATTTATTTTGGATTTTTGTAAAACTTTTTTCATGAAAAATATTCTGAAGAAATTCTATGCCCAATCCTCTCAGATATTTTCCATATTCCCACCAGAACTCTTTCTATTGAAAGCAAAAGAATATACAAAAATAAACGTATTTAGATAAAGAAAAAAATTCACCAGTAACACACACCTGCAACATGCTGAATAATAAAATATTAATATCTTACAGATGAAAGAGTGAAATTTCTCCTAATTTATGAGGTTTTGTAATTTCCATTAACAATTTTCCTCATCACTACCAACACCTGTGCATTTGTCAGGGAAATTAAATAATTTCTCAGGTTGGGATTCTATTTGTAAATTGAGGGATGAGGCCTTGATGTTATTTCCACAGGGTCTGCACTGGTCTCAGGAATGACTGCTTCCTCAGACAGGATGAGGATTTGGACCTCAGCATCCTGCTGCCTGACCCAGGTGTCCTCCACCTCCTTCTTCTCCAGCTGGACTAGGTCCTTATCTAAGAAGCACCCTGCTCTTGAATATGCAAATCATGTGAATCTATGTGGTAAATACAGGGATGTCCACACCACCAACTACACATGATCAGTGTCCTCTCCACAGTCACTGAGCACACAGGTCCTCACCATGGGATGGAGCTGGATCATCCTCTTCCTGATGACAGAAGCTACAGGTAAGGAGCTCCAAGTTCCAGAGTTAAGGAGTTGGGAATGTACTCAGGAGACAGTGACATCCACTCTACCATTCTCTCCACAGGTGTCCACTCCCAGGTCCAGCTGCAGCAGTCTGGTGCTGAGCTGGTGAAGCCTGGATCCTCAGTGAAGCTGTCCTGCAAGACTTCAGGCTACACATTCACTGACTATGCTATGCACTGGGTGAAGCAGAAGCCTGGACAAAGCCTGGAGTGGATTGGGTGGATTGTTCCCATAATTGGTATTACCAACTATGGACAGAACTTCCAGGGCAAGGCCACACTGACTGCAGACAAATCCTCCAGCACAGCCTACATGGAGCTCAGCAGCCTGACATCTGAGGACTCTGGAGTCTATTACTGTGCAAGACACAGTGTTGCAACCACATCCTGAGTGTGTCAGAAACCATGGAGAGGCAGGAAGCTGCCCCGGGACTGAAATGACACAAAACATCAGCCTAGGACTTACTCAGAAACCTTCAGCCTGAAAGCCCTGTTTCTGCCTCCTCCTAACTGTCCTGTAGGAGGTTTTTCAATTTTTCCAAGTGACATCTGAGAATGAAGTGTAGCTCATTGAGTGTGCCCTGCAGTTCACCAGACATTGAGGAGATCTTTATCAGATCTTTATAAAGAGATTAGAACTGTTAGTGAAGTAGCTGGAATAATACACTATAATAAGAATTTGACTAGGAAAATAGATCAGCAATATCAGAACAAACATAAACACATGCCAAAATTCAGTTTGATCTATTTAACAGCACACTAAATACTTTAGTAGAAGTTGTTACCAAAGATTTTTTGTGGGGAGTCACTTTACCTTTCCTCATAATTTCAATTCTATGTAATCATTTATAGGTGAGTCTAATCCTGGATTGCTTTTGTTAGTAGTAGTCACATTTCTTACCAATTGAGAGATGAAGACGGAACCGATTATCACACTGTGGAGTCCTCTGGTATAGTCTGTTACTCTCTCAGCATTCTGGGCTCCTGCTCACATAACACTGGCCAGAGCAGGGGATCCTGACCTGATGATGTGAGAGGCCTTGATGTCATCAGGAGCCCTGGGTGATCATTGCCTGTTTCCTGAGATTGGATTGTCTCTGCAACAAGTTTAGATTGACACTGACTGACAATGACTGGACGTCAGTGTATGGCACAGGATAACCCCAGCACCTCCATACAACACACACACACACACACACAGAGAGAGAGACAGAGACAGAGAGACAGAGAGACAGAGAGACAGAGAGAAGGAGACACCATGAGAGAGATTTTTGTTTTTAGAGGTGTCAATCACATCTCTGACCTCTACTGATTTTTGACTCTGCTATAACTTTTACATATCTGTATATAAGAAATTCTGTCTATTAGGTTATTTTTTATTTTGTTCTGTTTTAATCAGGAGAACACACATACCTTGGCTCTGCAAGGGCTGACTATCAGGAAAAAATAATTTTTCCATTGATACTGTGCCTACAATCTGTCAATTTTTATTGCAGAAATTTCTTGTCCTCCAAAGCCCACTGTCCTCCCAATGTCTTATTGCAGCAAAAGGGTTGGACACCATCATGAAATCTTTTGCACAGATATAAACCACAGAGTCAGGATAGAAAGGAAAGAGGGGTTCCTTTATGTGTGAATTCTGGGGAACTGTCAACAGAAAAATTAATAGTAACATGAATGCTGGGTTGTTGTTAGATGTGAACTAGTGGGACTCGGACAAAATGCATAGGGCTGACTTCTGTGGAGACAGACTGGATGTCTCAAGAATAAATAAAGCTTCCATTCTCCACAAAACTCCATCTTATTACTGCCATGATCCTTCCCAGTCAAACAAGAGTCCTAGGACAACAATCCTGACCTGTACAGTATTGCTGAGAAAGTATGTGTATACGAACATTTCATAGCAAACCATATGGGGGAGTGAGATTAATCAATTGGAGACCTTGTTGTATCAAAGAAAACACACAGGAACACAGTCTGAAATACCGTTATAATTTACAATTAAATCAAGTCCACATGATCAATAACATTGCTAAGTATTTTTACAAAGACACATCAAAGGAAAAAAAACAAAATAAATCAGTTATGCAGAGCCTGGGGAGTAAGTGCAGAGGGGTCAGCCAAGATGTTTCCTTACTCTACTCAGAGTTTATTCCTCTCAGTTAACCACACACAAGGCCCAGGAGACCATCTCCTAGGGCAATTAGAACCTTCCCCTAGAAGGACACAAGATCAGTTAGTTCC